CCTGCGTGAAGCCGTGTCCCGCATCCGCCGCCACACTGCCCCAGACTCAGACTCAGACGGAGGTGAGGAGCTCAGTGTCCACAGCGGCTCCTCTGATGGAAGCGACGCAGAAGCCCCGGGCGCCTCCTGGCGGAATGAGAGGACCCCGCCCGTGGCTGGCGACACTCCGCCCGGGGAAGGCGTGAACACAGCTGAGTTGAAGGGCAGTGACCGGGAGATTCTAGATGTCATCAGCCAAACCGAACAGGCCCTCTTCCCAGCGAGGGATACCAAGGGCACCCCCCCAGGGAAATAGGGAGAGGCAGTGAGAGGCCCCTTCTCGTATCAGTGTTTCCCGACTCATCTGTCCTTGGGCCCAAGCGTCCCACAGATTTCTTCCCCGCAGATTTCCTTTATTTCTCTTTTCCTTGTTTCCCTACCTATTGCTGTTCCTATACTTGAAATAGAACTGAAAGGAAAGGAAGGTGTGTCCAGTCCCGGTTTTATTTCAGGAGGCGTGAGGGTGAGCTGTAGATTGAATGCCTGCTACCTTCAGGGCATAGGGTGAGGTCTTCAGCAGGAACTGCTGCGTTGTTGAGCAGAGAGCTGGCCAGGACCAGACAAGAGGGCAGGGCCGAGGCAGGGCAGGGCCCGTGGGTACAAGGAACAAAGTGATGGAAAAGCTTTGGACCTAGTGACAGAGTGACCAGGTGCCAAAGGGATTCTTGACAGAGGATGAGTGGAATGCATCTGAAGCAATCAGCAAAAGCAGGAAGAGGGCTAACCTTTCAGGGTCTCAAGTCTTGAGTTTTAATCTCAATTCTGCCATTGACTCGATGGTCAGCCTTAGACCAGTCACTTCCCCTCTCCAGGCCTCCAAGGCTCCTCGTATGTGATATGAGAGCCTCTGTGGCCCACCCTAACATCCCTGGAGTTTTAGGATCATTGGGAAGGGCTCTAATTCTCTCATCAAGCCACAAAGAAAGTTGGGAATAAGTGAAAAGAATCCGAGAGTTCCTCAGGTGACCTCCTTGTCACCTGCACCTATTCTCAATTCAGCAGACTTCCCAGGGTTTGTAGAAGAGCCGAGTGGGCAAAGGGCTGTTATCCCAGTCCCTCAGGTCTAGATGAGGGCTCCCCAGGGGAGGGCAGGGTAGTGGCCCTGTCACTGTCCCTGGCCTGTGGTGGTCCAAGCTGGGGAGGGAAGGTAGCCAATGAATCAGCTTGGGACCTCTTTAGGCCTTCCCCTTTTCTTCCACCCTCATGTCCTTTAGTGATGCTCTGGAGCGTTACTACGATTTCCTACTCAGGTAACACTTGACAGAACCCTGAGAATTTCTGCATCTTTGCCTCTTCCAGAATCCGGCCAGGCGAGGAAGGAGGCTGGTCCCTAAGAAACCGGGGTGTGGGGTGTGGTGCTCTCTGTGGCCACTGGGAGGCGCGCGCAGGTCGCGGATTTCCCCGGTTGCTGGTCCTCGAGCCGGTCCCCCACCCCACCCCCAGCCCGGTCTGTCAGTGAA